TTAGGACATGCTGTAGAACATTATTGAAAAAACATCATGAAGACCAAGGAAAACAGAAGGTGGGTCGGTGATAACATGGAAGTTTAAACCAGGGTTAGGTTATGAAACAATGTTTTAATTGCTTTGAGAACAGTTGAGATTATTATTTTTTTTACTGTATATTTGTTTTATTTGTATCTCTGCTTCTGTCTCCTTGAACCACAGTGGGCCTCAGCAGATGGCCGCTCACACTGAGCCTGGTTCTGCTGGAGGTTTCTTCCTGTTAAAAGGGAGTTTTTCCTCTCCACTGTCGCTACAAGCATGCTTAGTGTGAGGGATGGCCTTTTAATCAATGAGTCGATCCAATCAACTGGTTTTCCTTAGATAGAAAACTTTGAATCAATCTGACTGTAACATCTGGTTAACTGGAAAGTGCCTTGAAAAGACATGTGTTGTGAATTGGCGCTATAGAAATAAACTGAATTGAATAGAATTTATTCTATTCTATGAGGACTACTTAATACAAATACACACTTTTAAAATTTGACAAACTTTGATAGCTTTCTGCATTATTTCAAGTTTTTATGGTTGGATTGTGACACAGTGTTTTAAAGTGTGTTTCCTCGTTCTGATGCAAGAGGAAAGTCAGTGACTCTGTGGAATCAGTTGTTTTTCCTTAGAAACGTTTTAACAGTCTGACTGTATGATCTCATTGAATCTTTTCTGTAAAGTGCCCTGTGAATTGGTGCTGTATAAATAAGCTGCATTTAAATTGAACATATATTGTTTGAAATAATTGATACTTGGACTCATTGCTTTATTTTTTTTTTTTATCCTTTATTTAACCAGGTAATACCCATTGAGATTAAAAATCCCTTTTGCAAGGGAGACCTGGCCAAGATAGGCATAAAAATTACATCACATCATTACATACGTACAAAGACACACACATAAAACCACATAAAATATGCACTTACTAGGGTTGTCAAAAGTATCGATACTCAAAAAAGTATCGATACTGAAACGTTGTTACCGGATACAATACTCATTTTCAAAAGTATCGGTACAGCCATCTAAAGTGCAGAATAGAGGAAAATGCACTTTCTGAACACTGTGATTGAATAATTCTGTGCATTTTTTAGTTTCAGACTTTTTTTGTAACAGGTGCAGCTGCTGAGAATTATTTTTGTTTAACTGGTTTGGCTAGTGTCATTGTTATGTCTGCAAAACATAGCCGAGGAAGGAACACTTAATTTTAATTTTGTAAGTTTTTCATCAAGCTTGCTTAATGTTAAGCACAGCATACAACCACAAAATATTATTCTTATTGTTCTTTTATTTATTTCTTGTATTTTTTTAGTAATGAAATATTTCTGTTGAATTTTAGAGTCTTTGTTTTAATTCTTGTGGTATCGAAAAGGGTATCGAGTATCGAATATTTTACTTAGTATCGGTATCGAGTTGAAAAGTTTAGTATCGTGACAACCCTAGCACTTACAATAAAATTTCAATTAAAACATTGACATGTGAGAGAGTCCAACTCAAAACATCTCTTTCTCAGCTTAAAAGTATTCAAAGGAACCAATTTACTAAGTTTCAAGTTATTTTGCATCAAATTCCATGTAAAGGGAGCAGAGTAAGCAAAGGCCTTTTTACTAGTGTTTCGCCGATGCCATTTTTTGGCCCCGATACCCGATACCTGGCTGTGCAGTATCAGCCGATACCGATACCCGATACCTGGCTGTGCAGTATCAGCCGATACCGATACCTGGCTGTGCAGTATTGGCCGATACCGATACCCGATACCTGGCTGTGCAGTATTGGCCGATACCGATACCCGATACCTGGCTGTGCAGTATCGGGCGATACCGATACCATAATAATGTAAAATAATTGCCATTATGGCTTTGTCAAGAAAAAATCTAATCTAATCTTGCCTACCAGGAGTGGGTGACAATAGTTGAATAAACTTATGGCTCTCGAATTGGTATCGGTGCCCTATTTGTTGGTACTCACCGATACCGTAACCACCATTTTAGGGCAGTATCGGGGCCCCATCCGATACTGGTATCGGTATCGGTGCAACACTAGTTTTTACCCAGCTCAGTACTGACAAGTGGGACAGAAAACAAGACAACAGCCTGCGAACGGAGAGACTAATGACCAGTACTTTTTTTCATAAGAAGTGAAAGCTAAATGATGAAAGACCTATTAAATAGTTTTTAACTCAACAAGTAAAATATAAGGACCCATTTATTACGTCTCAGTGACTCTTGGTTCAGTCATGAAGAATTAATCTAGATCTTGTTTACATGAAACTACAGATGTGTCTTCGTGTCGTCTTCGTTAATCTCGCTTGATTGTCTCATTAATATTCTCTTTTTACATTTCCCCCTTGAAGTTTTTCTTTCAGCCCTGAGTCCCTCATGTAATTATAGAGTTAGAGAAACCTAAGAACATCTGTTGCTTTTTCAGATACAGGTTGTGTTTGTGAAGCTGTGTGCTTTGGAGGCCTTAAATAACATGTTTCACATACAACATTCTGAGAGCTTGTCTCTCCTTCTTTTGAATGCTACCCTGTAGCCACATAAACTCTAAGCATATGCTCACCCAAGCATGTTCAGCCTTAAATTACATCGCGAACCACCGCAGCCTGAGCTGCTGTGGTAACCCGTGTAAAGTCTGCACTTCTTTGGTGCTGAATACAACATCTTATTAAATGTTTTAAAGGTTTTTTTTCCTCAATGTTTTACATGTATAATCTTTGCAGAGGTTTGCACAGTGAGTTTGCACACATGTTTTACATTAGTCTCGGGTTCTTTAGGCATTTTCCTATATTCCATATGGATGGAGAAGGGTAGGAATATTGTAGAGCGTGACAGACTGCCTATTTGCATTTCCGATGATGATACAGCATGCATTCTGCGATACCAACTAAGCAAGATAATGGAAACGACTGAGAAGATCATTTGTACCTATGTAATGTAATTTATAAAAAGGTTTTAGGACAGCTATTTACGCTTCACTGGAAAAAAAACAAATCTAGGTAAGTATTTTTTTCTTAAAATAAGTGCATTTGTTCTTGGATTGAGGAGGTAAAAGAGACACTTTACACTTAAAATAAGAAAACATCGTAGCATTGTCTTATTTCAAGTGCATTTTATCTAATTATCTTATTTTAAAGGAATAGTACACCCAAAACATGATTAGCCTTCATTTTCTACTCACCCCCATGCTGAACAACACTCTGGAGTACTTTTTTGATATCTCAAATGCATCTGGAGATCTGGGAGGCTTCTTGCTGTCTGCTGACATTCAAATAATGGAGGTCTATGGTGCCCGAGGCAGAAAGGTCCATAAAAGTCCACAAAAAACGTGTCAATATTCCTCCATACTGCTCGTCCAATGTATTCCAAGTGTCCTGAGTGGGTAGCGTCCATAATTTACTCGACACAAAGTCATTTAGAATGTTTTTAGAGCATAAACAGTAGTGTATAGGATTTCCTAAAAGCGCGTTCGCGACGCTACGGAAACCGCGGCAGACCAAACCAGATGAAAGTGCGCATTCAGCTCGGCAAAGAACTCATGCTCTTCCTCATCACTGAAGTCCTCAGACATTTTTCTTTCATTGTTTCTTTCTTTGCACAGGTAAACAGCACATTTCTTCTTCTACGCTTGCATATCGGCAGAGCAGACGCTGAATGCGCACTTTCGTCTGGTTTGGTCTGCCGCGGTTTCCGTAGACTCGTGAACGCGCTTTCAGGAAATCCTATACACTACTGTTTAGGCTCTAAAAACATTCTAAAGGACTTCGTTTCGAGTAAATTCTGGACGCTACCCACTCAGGACACTTGGAATACATTGGACGAGCAGTATGGAGGAATATTGACACGTTTTTTGTGGACTTTTATAGACCTTTCTGCCTCGGGCGCCATAGACCTCCATTATTTGAATGTCAGCAGACAGCAAGAAGCCTCCCAGATCTCCAGATGCATTTGAGATATCAAAAAAGTACTCCAGAGTGTTGTTCAGCATGGGGGTGAGTAGAAAATTAAGGCTAATCATGTTTTTGGTGTACTATTCCTTTAAGAGTAAAAATGCTTAGTTCGTTGGCAAACTATCTCATTTACCAACTCAAATTATGGGTAAATACACTTAATTTAGGAAATTTGTTCTTATTTCTAGATCATTTTTCCAGTGTTCATGTGCATTTAGAAGTAGTAGAGTCTCTCAGAGCTGCATTTGCACAGGAACTTTCTATGTGTATCTTTCAGGATCTTGATTTTTACTTTATATTCCAATATGTTAAAGCTATTAATGCCCCAATCAATCAGTCAGCCAGTGTTAAAAATTAGCCAAGTCTCTCTCAGTTTGTAAATCAGCAGGTCAGATCGTAATAAAGCTGGAAATCGACCATTTCATTTCTTCATCTATAAATTGTATAACTGTTAGAAGAGTATCTCTGACAGTTTTCTTCTTCATCTCATGGCTCAGATGAATCCATCCCATTAGCTTTGGCCTGGTGTCTTTATAACTTGGAATCTTTTCCTAAAAGCTCAGATTTTGGCTCCATCTGCAGACAGAGCTCTCCGTCTCTGGGGCTCCTCCAGCAAAGATAGCACAGAGCCACATAATGGCCCCCGTTCATCTCCTCTCTAGGCCTCCAGCTCTCTTTTTTTAGTCTCAGCTCCCTCCTCCCCTTCTTCCTCCTCGTCCTCAATCTCACCCACTCTACATACCAAAGAGTGAAATCAATTAATCAAGAGGCGGCCTGACTTGTCCCAGTCCATCTCCCCCTGGTGGCCAAGTCTTTCGAAAATAATCAGTCATGAAAGAAACTCTGATTTGAGCAGAAAGCGTTTAGTCTGTGATGAATTTTAGGCTCAGAGTAACTAGATCAAAACACTCTTGGATCAAATTAAGGATTAACTCACTTAAGAAAACTGGCATTTACTGTAACACAGTGTTTCTTTTGCTTTTTATTTAATCTTCTCTGTATTTTCATCCCTTCCTGCCTTTTTTTTCTGTCTTCTGCAGAAGAATCCTCTGACACGGTGAGGGCGGCATCGTATATCTTCATTGGAGTGGGCGCTCTGTCAATGGCCATGGGATTCTTCGGCTGCATAGGAGCCATCTATGAAATCCGTTGTCTGCTGGGACTGGTGAGGAGAAGCGCACACACGGTCCACAGGAGCTCTGATGTTACAGTTTAATTTCACTCTTCAGAGCGCGGATTCTGGTTTTATCACCAATAAATACGGTATGAGATTCAGGAAAGAGTGGCGGCTGGTGGACTTTTCTCCAGGGGGGCTATAACTTCAAAATAGACGTATACCAAAAACCAATCTAAGGTTTCACAGCAGTATATTTACATGAATGCCATCAACAAAATAACATTATAAAATGTTCTAAAAAGTGCTTTAAAATCAGTCCAATCTGGCCTAATCCATGCTGGGTCAGATCCTGATGTTTGAAAAAGGAGGCAAGGAAAGCAGAATAAAGATTTAGCCTCGCTGCATGCAGTTAGCCAAGCCTTGTTGCTAAATAATTCTATAAACCTGCAATCAGCTGCACTTTATAACAGACGACGTTGACGACAGCGCTGTGGCAGGAGTTGGTGAGCAAATAAAGTTGCTTTCAGCTCTGGGTGCAGGAGAGCTGCTCCCCAGGATGCTACTGATGAAGAGGAGCTACTGCGCATGGGCAACTTTAAATGAGAGTCTATGGGCAAAGATATGTCACCAATTTGATGAAGAACAAAACAGCTTTACTCTTCATTAAAGATTAAATATTTATGTTGCGCATCTAAAAAATATATAAATATCCACCCATCCATTTTCCGTTACCCTTATCCCTGCTGGGGTCGCGGGGGCAGCTGGTTCCTATCTCCAGCTGTCTGGAGGCGAGAGGCGGGGTCCATCCTGGACAGGTCTCCAGTCCATCGCAGGGCAACACAGAGACAAACAGGACAAACAACCATTCGCATTCACACCTAAGGAGAATTTAGAGAAGCCTATTAACCTAATGCCGCGTTCACACCGGATGCAGCATGCGCGGCAGAAGCAGCGAGTTTACATGCAAAGTCAATGGTTGACACGCGTCAAGGTGCAGCAAAAGGTCCCGCAGCGCGTTTTGAGCAGCTGAAGCAGCGTCAGATGCTTAAACGCTCCTGATGCGCCGCAAGCGCGCTGCTGCTCGAGATGGAAAAATTTAACTTTTGCTGCTGGACGCGCCGCGTCAAACAATCAGAGAAGCTGATCTGGGAGCTGGCAGAGAGACAGACACATCGCTGATGATACAGAGCGCTGTGATCACTCCTCTGAAACAGTTTATTGATGCATAAATTAACTTAAAATGCAGAAACCTGCCGGCAGAATATGTTCGCTTTTATTATCCTGGTGCCTGCAGTTCGGATTATTTAGATGAAAAACACCTACCAGCCGCCGCACTACGAGGAGGCGACCGGGCCAGAGGCTGCTGTGGAATGGGATCCTACTGTCAGCGCACCGCTGGTATGTGGGGGTCTGAGCGGCTCCGACAGAAATAATATTGGAAGGCAGGATGGTAATCTGGATGAACTGACTGCACTGATTAAGTTTTCAGGTGGACTTTCCCACATAAAAACATATTAAAACTACTTTATTCCCACTGATCACAGCAAATATAGCTGCAAGGCAGAGAAAGGATAGAGTAGCTCCGCCCAACGCGCGTCAGACACACTTTTGCACCGCGCAGCCAGAGCAGACAAGCAGCAAAAATGAAGCAGCAGACGCAATTTTGCTGCTCTTGCTGCATCCGGTGTGAACGTAGCATAACAGTCATGTTTTTGGACTGTGGGAGGAAGCTGGAGTACCTGGAGAGAACCCACACATGCACAGAGAGAACATGCAAACTCCATAGAGAAAGATCCTGGCCGGGAATTGAACCCGGCATCTTCTAGCTGCAAGGCAGCATTTAATTCTTATTTTAATTTTTTTATGTCTTAATCAATGTCATTGGGTGAGCGGGGCTGCACCCTAGCGCCCTCTATTGGCCAGTGGCCACTGCCAGGAGACAAAAATATGGTGAATTAAAACAGTCAACCTTTTCTTTATTGTTTTTTTTCTTATGAAATCAATAAAACAAAATAATCTGTAAACTGTATAGTGTGTAGGGTTGCTGTTCTCTTGGAATTCCAACCGCTGCTCCAGTTTCAAGTATTTCCCTTCCAGCATTACCCTTAATCTATTTCCAAATATCAACTTTGACCGTTCCTTCTGTCCTCACTGAGGAAAAACATTCCCACAGCATGACAGTGCCACCGCCTTGCTTTATTGTAGTGATGACATAGTTAGGATAATAGTTTGTTGCCACTCATATGGTTTTGCATGTAGGTCAGTTTTCATTTCTAAGTTATAGCACTGAACCCCAAAGAGGAAAGGCTTTTTTATTGGGATGAATCCACCTGCATGGCCACTGGAGCGCGGCTAATAGCATGTGATAGATTCCTGCTGACAGTAAGGCTCTCCAACACGCCTGCTAATGTGTCAGCGCTGCTGAGAGGAGAGAGGTGTGAAGAGATAAAACCAGGGGTACGTGGGGGGGGGGGCTTCGACAAGAGTGGGGATGGGTGCCTGACCTCAACACTGTTAAACCTGCTGGGGTTAACTAACCAACTGACGTGACCTACTTCTCTGAGTGACAGAGACCAGCTGGTGCAAAAACCCTCCCCCTTCTCAAACGAGCATCCTTAATTGCAGTGGCTTAAAGAGTCTTTATAGTTGAAATTCTTTTTTTAATGTAGACTTAATGGATCTTAAGATTTTATGTGAGTTTATCTCTAATAACAGTTCATATAATATCTATATTCTGCCTCCTGTCTTCATATTGTTCTCTAGGAAGCAGATTCCTGCAACATGATCCACTTACTTCTACCAAGCTTTAGAAGCTTCTATACACGTTTTCCTCACGTATAACAACAACTAACTGTCTGGGAAAACATTAAAAAAATGGTACAGATCGCATTACAATTGTTGGAATTCATTTGTTCTAATTAAAATGTAAAAATAATTGCTTTTCTGTTAAAGAAATAACAGTTTTATGGCAACTCAGCTTTATTTATAAAGCCCCTTAAAACAACCACGGCTGTCACGACGTGCTGTACATATTAGGTTAAATTAAAATTGTATAGAAACAACATAGAAGTTTAAAAAAATAAAACAAATATAATGAAATGAATTAATTAAAACAAATAAAACCAAATAAAAAAAAAATGAAGCAAACCACAAAAACAGAGACTCTCATGTAGTGTTAAAAGCCAAAGAATAAAAATAGATTGTCTAATAATCAGAAACACAGATTCTTGTGTTAAAGCTTAACATTATATTTAGTTAACTTTATATGTCTGGATATCATGCCCCCAGCTAGAGGTTCGTATGATATAGCCTTGGTCTAAATGGGAAAGCTTTTGCATTTCTAAAAATAATTTTCTCACACGTTTTTCTGATTTTTTTATGTCAGTAGAGATTCACTAGAGTGTGAAATGGGATGATTTTCCCCTTGACTGAATCTTATCAGAGCTTAATATTATTGATGTTAATGAAATGCATCCCATCGTTATTCTAAAAACACATGACTTGATGCATATATGAAAATAATCTTAAAATTCCTGGTTTAACAGCAGTAGCTTAAAGTCATGGGTTGGAATTAGGGGTGGAACGGTTCACAAAATCCACGGTTCGGTTCACGGTTTCGTGGTCACGGTTTTTGGTTCGGTTCGGTATATGTTTATTGTTACACCGAAAAATAAAAAAATTAATAAAAATTATAAAAATTAATTAATTCTGACTTTAATCTCAGAATTCTGACTTTTTTATTGTCAGAATTCAGTCAGAATTCTGAGATTAAAGTCAGAATTCTGACTTTTTTCCCATGTTAAACTGAAATAAAATTTAAAAATCAGATAACTTTTTTTTTTTTTCAGTGAAAAAACTAAATGTAATACCCATCTTGCTTATCTTTCTGTTTTGAAAACAGTACACAGAAAATGTGTATTTTTCAATAACATTTAGGCTAGTAATTAATCAAAATTAATTCAAGAAACCTTGTGATTAATTAGATTTAAAAAATGTAATCGTTTGACAGCCCTATACAGAAGTTATTTGCTCTAAAGGAACGTTTTAACAGAAAGAAAAGTTATAAATCCGGAGTTCCTCTTCCTATTGTTGTCTTTTTTTCATGTGTTTTTTTTTTTTATTAAATTGATGATAAACCTGATGCACAGGCTAAAATCTCAGGAACTTATTATTAAAACAAAAAGTTTAGTTACTAGCTGTAGAGAGTGGAATAATTAGGTTGTAAAAAGTATCAACTTGTCTTGGTTAATGTTGAAATGTCTTCTTTTTTACGTGAAATGATAACAGTGTTTTTTTTTTTCTTTCCTACAGTACTTCACCTGCCTTCTGCTCATCCTCGTTGCTCAGGTCACTGCTGGAGTTCTCGTTTACTTCCAGAGAGATCTGGTAAAACACAAACTCTGCTTCCTTTAATCAGTTTTTAATTCTTTCTTTTTCCTTATTTTTTATTCATTGCTATTGTTCTATTTCAGTGGATTTTTTCTGTGGTCTGTAAACGTAACCCCCCCCCCCCCCAAAAACCCCTGTTTGTCATATACTTCATCCCACCATGTTTTCCTCTGTGGGCACCGCTTTTTGCCTGCTGAGGTGTTTATATGTTTCCCCCCACAGCTGTAACCATCTAAATGTAGGTGTTTGGTTAAAACCTGCATCCTGTGATGAAACAACGATCTAGTGGAAACTTACAGGATGTCAGTTTGTAACTGAGATGACCCGCGGGTCGGGATAGAAAAAGGAGATAAAGGGAAGCAGTGAATGGACTGTTTGTGTTGAACTATGTCAGTTCCCCCTGCAGGATGTTTTTAGCTTTCATATGTGAAACTGAGAGAAGTAAAACACTGAAATGACAAACGTTATCATTTTAGAGATGTAAGCATGTCTCTGAAAATACACCGCCCCCTATAGGTGGGTAAATTATGAATAGAAATAAAGTTTAGAGCAGGGGTCACTAACTTTTTTAAGGCTGAGAGCTACTTTATGGGTACAGAGTCATAGGACGGGATACCAATACTGACCTAAGAACTAGAGGAGTCGGCGTTCACCTGAACTTCATAGATAATAAACATATTTCTATTGTTTCTTTTCATTTTTAATTTGTTTTTAGATATTCTCATTATGAAATCCATATAAATCCTCAAATGTTCTAATTTATTGATATAATAAAATGCTTAATAAATGCTTCAAAATAAGAGCTTCAGTAAAAAAATAACATTTCAGATTTAGTCCACTGATGAATTGTTCTGTTTTCAAAAGATGCTGAGGGCACCCCATGTTGTCCTTGAGGGCCCCTTGGTGCCCACGGCCACCATGTTGGTGACCCCTGGTTTAGAGCATCTTAGAAGCTCAATAAACAGGTTAAAGTAACAGTATTCAGAATGATCAGATTCCCTTTTTTTTGCTTATTTTCATTAATTGATGTAAGATATCACAAACTATAACTTAAGACACCTTCAAATAAAGCAAAACATTATTAAAATACACAACATAACAAATAGCTTAACTTGGATTATGTATAACATTTTATCTATGATAAATGTTTGAAGTATTTTGAACTTAATTAGATTCTGTTTTGGGATTTTAAATGGAAACATATTTCTCTTGTAAAAATGCCCTTAGGATGAACAGTTAACATGAAATGCTGCTAAAATAAATAAAAAAAAGTTTAGAAGATTGTCCATAATCAGCCATGTTTTTCTCAAACAGTTGATCTACTAAAAAAAAATTAAAAGAAAAATATTTGCAAACAACAAATAAGAATATTCAAACAAAAGTGGATTTTTCAGGTTACATGTTTCTTACTAAAACAAAAAAAAAAACAATGTTTTTAACCCTGTAATGTTTTGCATCTGACACCTTTTGCATAATTTAATGGTAAAAACTTTGCTCAAAATCCTATTACACAATCAGATATACCTGATAACAGCCAGTAGAAGACTACACAAAAAATAATCTTGACTTATCGCATAGTAATAAATTATTAATATCAAAAATGTATTTCTGTTTTTTCTTTTTACATATTTTGTTTAAAGGCCAAATAAGGACTTCAAACCAAAAAAAAGTCATTTTCTGTTTTGTTTTATTCTTGGATCGGGCTTTAAATGGTTAATAATTTTAATAATGTATCTGGGAACATTTAGTGAACCAGAGCAAAATCTTTTCCAAACTATTGTTAATCAGAATCACTTGAGGATCCAGTTACTCTCTGACTGCAGGTGCCTTTAGAACGGAGGGAGTTTGTTGAATTGGGCCTCTGATTATAAAGACAATCATTTAGTGAACCAGGTTCAGTGTTTGCTCCTGGGGGAGTGTTTTGTTTGAACACCTCACTCTCTCTGACATGTTTTATGCTCTGTGTTAAGGCCACTCTCTAAAATAGCACCTTCCTCCCTTAATAACCCTCATCTCTGTGTGGGAAGGTGGGGACAGTTTTAACTGTGAGCCCTTCAGTCTGTGTGTTTATCTGGACCATGTGAACCTGCAGCCTTTCATACTCTCTGTGTTTAAGGCTCACCACAGAGCAGGGTGTTGCGCTTTCCCAGAATAGGGTGAGGCTCTCACGCGTCGCGCGTAGATCTCAGCTGCATTACAGCTACCGATCTATGGTCTTACACACATAAATACAGAGCGTTTCCTTATTTTAGCTGGGTTTGGACAAAGCTTCGCCCTAACATGGGGCTTTGCATGTGTGAACTCTGCTATTTCACTGAGAAACGTGACGTTGATGATTAACTATGGGAAGAGATTGCAGTTTTTTTTTTGTTTTTTGTTATTCCAATCAGTAAAATTTTGATTTCCACTTAAGTCAAGTGTTTAAATAATTAGAAATTGAAAAAAAAAGTTTAAATCTTACTCTTTAAAGCTTTTTTAAACTGCCACTAATGATCAGTTAAAAGCCACAAGAACATAACTTAAATAACAAAATGTTTCTTAATTGAAAGGTAATTGAATTCACAAATTTTCACCTAAAGTTGGCAAAATATCTACGCCTCAGAAATATGGAAGTAAATCTTTGTCGCTGGGATTTGAATTAAAAATGCCATTGAAATTTTAATGTTGTTTTTTTATACTTACTGTTTCAGTGTTAAAATATATTCAGAACACATTTTTGATCCCAAAAAAAAAATTCATTGCCATTATTTCTACACAGTTGAAATTTCATTTATTTTCTCTTCAAGCTAAAAATTCACATTAATATTTCAAAGTGATTACATTTTCAATACTTATTTTTCAGTTTAATTTTTGATAAAAAAAAATCTGCATATAAAAAAATTCAACCTTTCAAAATTCAAAGTCAATATTTTATACTCCTAAGATTCAACTGGCTCTATTTCACTGTCTTAAATTCGGCGTCTAAATTCAGTGTAAAAAGCGTTAGCTTGCATGGCCGGCTCCGTCATGCTGGTTTTCCTTCCGTATGAGCGCCACAGGCGTCAGGTCACGTGACTAAGAAAACGTAACGGGATTGGCTGGGTGTTGGACGCCACAATCCATTGCTAATGTCTGTGACCTGAAGTAACCCCTTCCCTTTTTACACTGAATTTAGACGCAGAATTTAAGACGGTGAAATAGAGCCAGTTGAATCTCAGGAGGCTGAAAATATTGAGTTTGAATTTTTTTATATGCTGATTTTTTTTAACACTCAAAAATAAATATTGAAAATGTAATCACTTTGAAATAGTAATGTGAATTTTTAGCTTGAAGAGAAAATAACAAATTAAATTTAAACTGTGTAGAAATAATGACAATGAATTTTTTTAGGTCAAAAATGTGTTCTGAATATATTTAAACACTGAAACAGTAAGTACAAACATACAACAGTTAAATTTCAGTGGCATTTTTAATTCAAATCCCAGCGACACAGATTTACTTCCATACAGAAAGACCATTTGTTTATGCGTTTTTATTTAGATAGAGCCTTAAAAATAATTATCCTTGTTGATTAATTTACTGTTAGTAATAATAATCACAGATCTCATGATCACATGCAGCTATATTTATTTAACTCTCCTTCATTTTCTGTGTCCTCCAGCTGAAACATGAGATGTCTGAAATCATTGGGAGGATGATAGTCAACTACACTGGTCAGAACAGGACCACGGAGCACGCCTGGGACCTCATTCAGAAGAAAGTGAGTAGATGAATCCAGGTGGATGAACATTAATGATGACATGTTTTATCTGCTCACTGAATAAAAGAATCCTTCTGGCATTTCCTCCCTTTGGAGGAAAAACCAGACCTGTCATTCATCCTGTCTAAGTAAACACAATCAGTAATTTGAGAAAGTATTGGATCTCTCAAAGACACCCTGTTTTTCCTTTTCTTGTCGCATCAAATATTTCAGATCAGATTTTAAGTTTAGATAAAGAAAACCTGAGTTGTTACAAACTGCTTTTCAAAAGTTTTTCATATGCCAGTTATTTTTTTTTGTCATTTTAAAGGACAAGAAGCCAATAAAAATTATATTACCCATCCACATTGTTAATGCCGGATTTTATCTAAATTAACCACATTTCTTTGTTAGCCTGACCTAAGCTGGTTTTGTCATTTATCCATTCGAATCAAGAAATCATTCAAATCAATCACATCTGACAACATAATAAGGCTAAACAATCACAAAAAGAAACAGATTAATAAAAAAATCAAGATTATCAACTAGGGATGCACGATATAATCGGCCCCCTATCGGTATCGGCCTTAAAACTGAATATTGGACATCGGCCACCCCACCGATATTTAACCCGATATTTGATCAGCTTCTGAGTTTCTAAAGTCTAAAAAAATACTACTTCTTCTTCCTCAAAAACTTCTTTTTTACAGACTTAAAAACTTCTAAAGACGAGGGAAAAAATATTGATACATTAAAATATCCCAATATCTTCATATGCTGATATATTGCCATTTAAAAACACCATATCAATCTCTTTACTAATGAAATATTGCTATATGTCATCGTTATGCTACGAAATCCCCCGAAAATTCACGAAATTTTGCCATATTTTTATATGTTGATATATTGACGCGGTATCGATCTATTTTACTAACAAAATCTCACAAGAATTTGCAAAATATCATGAGAGTTTGTAACAGAACGATGAAATTTCACGAGATTTTAAAAATTAAAATAGATCGATAACGTGTTTTTAAAAATCTATTTGATATCAGCGTATGAAAATATATTTGAGTATATTATTTTTCAAAGTGTCAGAAATGGATAACAAAACTGCTATTTTCAATGACTACTTATTTTTGTCCAGCTTTAACATCAGTATCGATATCGTTTATCGGCTACATGAGTTTTAAAATATCGGCATATCGGATATCGGCCAAAATCCCAATATCGTGCATCCCTAATATCAACCCTTTTATTCTAAGACTTTGGGACTTAAGAAAACTACAGTTTTAAGAGTTTTAAAGTTTTAAAGGAAAAGTCCGGTCAGCACAGAACGATCAGTGGCTCATTATCTATACCTAAAAGTAATAAGTTCACAATGATTTAATGAATTTAGCGTTAATCAGTAAAAAAAAAAAAAAAAATGAAATTATTTTTGTTGAGATCGAGAGTCTGGGAGCGGCCATTTTTGCCCAAATATATAAAAAGAACAGAGCCAAAAAGCTCTGTTCTTTTTATTCCCTCCTCTGTTCAGGTCTTCCCATATGTTGTTCAGAGTGTAGATTTAGGGACAAAGGTGGAGCAAAGGTTATCTGATGTCTGGGTAACTATTCTCCTTTCAGCATCTTTATGAAAGACTAGACTTAAAAGACCTTTTTTATTTCTTTTCTGATAGATGTCAAGTTTTTATTGAAATCTCTGATCACTTAAAAGAGCCTGTACACCACAGGAACCCCAGAACCTATGGAGAAGATACAATCCCACAGTATCACCCATCCTCTACTGTACTTCAGGGTGCTTATGATGTGCCTTTCCAGAGATCTATCTTTTATTTCACCCCAAAAACCCATCTGAAGGGATTGCTGTCTGTAAAACACAATCTTGGTCTTGTTTAAAGGAGAAATGCGGAATTTAGCATAAGTCAGTAAAAAAATAAAAACAATTTTCATCGCGATCACCTCCCTCCTGCCATCTTCCAGCAGTGACGTCACGGTGCGGTAAGCCTAGCGCCATTCTTCCCGCTTTACAAGCTAAATCAATGGGAACTACTAGACACATCTGCAATCAACAACAATTATTGAAGATTTCCAGAGGACTTCACCATTGAAATTCACCAGAGCTATAGTGAAACTGACAATGCCCACGTGCATGGCAGCTGGATGCTGGAATACATCGGGTGAAAGTGGGAAAAAAAAGTTATTCCACCTTTCTGATTCCTGCTATGTGTATCTGTGATTTTTATGGAAATAATTTACCAAGAAAATTTACCAGAGGAGATTTGGACTGATCTTCTTGTTTATTGTTTTGTTCTTTTCTCTTAAAGTGTTTTTTTTTTTTTTTTTTGCTCCATCTCCTCCTTCCTTAAAACTTTCTTGTCTTCCATGTCACCAGATGAATTGCTGTGGGTGGACCGGTCCAGGAAACTGGTCTGAAAACCTTCTGATCAAGAACAGCACTGACTATCTGTATCCATGCTCCTGTCGAAATGAGTCCCTTCCAGGCACTGAACCAAAAAATGTTGGCCTGTGTACCAGCCTGTCTGCACAGCTGCCCGTCTTTGAAACGGTACGTAACTCTATGGAAAATCAACCCGGCTGCTTCTAATCTACTACTGATAATCCCCACTGATCAGAAACGCAATGTATAATGGCTGTTTCATACCTTAGACCAATCAACCATCAGCTAGGACCCTGTATAGATTAATATACTGGTTCATTTGCCATGAAGCTCTGAAAGTGGAGTTCATCGCCATTCTAGAAGCTTGATATGAGCAAAATATCAATTCTAAACTGTTTTGTTTTAAGCTTTGTTTTGAAAGGCACATTTTCCTGGGAAACTGAACTTAGCATGGTGATACCACCGCCATTCTTAACAGTTAATACTGTTTAAATGCCTCCGCTTTTACTCCTCTGTGTATTCCTTTGTTCATCAAGAACAGATAGCTTCATGTTCATCAATTTTCATCAAGCTTGAAAGTATTAGCCTCATGAGACCATCCGGATCTCGCGAGCTTTCAAGGTTTCACTCGCAGATCAGTCTGGAGACTCTCCGTTGAAGAAAATTTGGAGCCGTTCACCAAACGAACGTCCAATCAGCGTTGGCTTTGAGGCGGGTTGAGGTGTGACGCAACGAGTAACGCGACAGTTCAGTCTAAAGAACATGGCGGCTTCAGCCGATGAAACTAGCGTTAGCGTGGCTATCGAGCAAGTTTTATCAGAATTACAGAGTATTTCTTCACTGAAAGAAGAGCAAAACACTGCTCTGGAGGCTTTTCTCAGAGGAAAAGATGTTTTTGCTCTTCTCCCGACTGGTTTCGGCAAGAGTTTGATCTATCAATTGGCTCCTCTTCGTCATCGCTCTGTTAGTACGTCATATGCTTCATTGATCTGATTGGTTTATTTGGCTCGTCTATCACCAACATAGGCCAATCAGCTAACCAGTATTTTCGCCCCTTCCCAAAATTACTTCAACCGAAGGTTTCCAGATGGATATGCGGAGCAAATCCAGCAAATCCATCTGGCGGAGTCAGGTTATGAAAGTATTAGTTATATGATAAATTTTACATGCAATGTATTTGTATTATGTGCAATTAGTGGGCATGTTGGGAGGGATCTACAAAGATGGCAGTGTAAAAGTTAAGACCTTCAGACCAGTTTGGTTTCTCTGCTTGTTCTATGTTCAGCTGAGAATGGCGGTAAAAGAATGACGAGGTTCCAAGCCATCTAGTTGGTAATAATAATGATAAAAATGATTTAACAAATGATTATACATTAGGAGCCATTCAAAACTTCCCCATTTTCCCTGATGGGTCCTTGGCTGCTCCCCTACAAGTCCTTTTTAAACATCTGTATTTGTACCCAAATATTCTTTCTGTCATGATTTGTGGACATTAAGATCTAAAGAGAAGCGTCTTCTACTGGTCAGATCCTGTAATTCAGTGAAAGGGTGGAGTCAGAGTAAAAAACATGCAATAGGGGGTCACTTCAGTAGCTGGAAGTTGGAGGGGGTTTAGCTGAGAGTTGGAGGGAATCGGGCTGCCATTCGGCTGCCGTTTGACTAGGAAGGGGCATTTTGAATGGCTGCTACTGTAGCATTGAATAATATTTTTAGAGCACTTTACATTAGTTGCTTAACTTTAAGTGCTACAAACAAAAGCAAAAAAAGTGCAAAAAGCTTTCCCTCTTAAAAAAAAAAAATCCATGGATTTAATTTAGATTTTTATTGCAACCAACACAAAGAAGTTGAAAAAAGTGATTTTATTTTTGGTTTACAAAAAATGTAATTAATTTGGAGTATTAGGTTTTATTTTATCCATTTCTAAATCAAACGCATGGTAAAATTTGTCCTCTGTACAAATTCAATCAATACAAACAAAAGCAAAAAAAGTAAATGATGAAAATAACCACATTTCAATATAGAAAAAATTTAATACACAAAGACATAAGAAAGTTTTCTTTTTCTGGACTTATGTTGATTATATGTAAACATCTGACTGGTTCTGGAGACACTGTCACTCTTCTTATTAAGAGCCAAATGGTAAATGAGAGAGTTCTTCATATCTTTCTTTTTTTTTTGTACCATACAATGATTTCAAATATTGAATTTAAAAAATAAGATAATAAGTGTACTGGTCTATGCCTGGCTTGTCCAAAGTTGGCCCTCTAGTTTTAGAGCTTTTCCTGCTTCAGCACAGCTGATTTCCACTGAGAGCTGATTGAGAGGCTTTTGCTGAACAGCAGTCATCAGAATCAGCTGAGCTGAAGCCGATAAACATTGAAAACCTGTCGGACAGCGGCCCCTGAGGACCGACTTTAGACTTGCTGGTTTTAAACTCTGAATAAACGTACTTTCCATTCAGTTTTTTCTGTTTCTTCTTCTTTTTTTAAATCTTTCCTGGGAGGTTTCAGCAAACCTCACGCCTTAAATCATCACGTCTTGGCTTGCTGTGTATTTCCAGCTGCCTGCTCACTGCAGCATTTCAGTAGAACGAAATCAGCTCAGGAAACTCTGACCAGTGCGACAAGCTGTTTATACTGTGCAATCTGTTAAACACCAGGAATCCTCTACAGTTCTGTTGTTTGGTCTGCATGTTTCAGAAAGGTTACAGTTTCTGCCAGAGCTCAGCTTAGCCCCCTGTTTTTCTTTTCCCCCCACAGACTTGATCCAAAGCCAACTATTCTGCTTTTTTAAAAGCCTCTGTGCATGTCCGGCTGTGATCGCACTGCCATTCCTTTCCCTGCATGTCACCCCCCTCCTCATGAACTTCCTAACGCTTTCGGTTGTCTCTCGTAGGGTTGCATGACCAGCGTGGATAAATGGCTGATGGATAATTGTGGAATAATTCTGGGGATCTGTGTCGGTGTGGCCGTGGTCGAGGTAGGAGATTCATTTCTTCCTAGTTCAGACTTTTAATATAATGTGCATTACTTTAAAAAAATGTATTTTTTTTCTTGAACTTTTCCTCTTAAAAAAAATAAAATCAACAGAAAGAAATATCCATGCATTTAATTTAGATTAAAGAATAGAAGTTAAAAAAAGTTATTTCATTTTTGGTTTACAAAAAATATAATAAATTGGGAGTATTCGGTTTTATTTTTTCCACTTTGTTTTTATCCACCTAAATCAAACGCAGGGTAAAATTTATCTTCTGTACAAATGATATTCTTCAGTGCAGGCTTATTTAGAGGACATTAGTGAAAAAAACAAAAACATTAAGATCAAGGGACAGAAAGAAAGATGGGAAGTTAAGAAAATATCTAAAGCTTTGACCATATAGTTCTCTCCAACACATCGCCAAGACATTTAGAGACTCCGGCTAACCTAGCAGTCATATTTACAAAGTCAAAATGCAACTCCGTGCAGAAAGACCCAGCCCTGGGTTCAAACTCGTGGTCTTCGTGTTGCAAAACGGCACTGCTAGAAGCTGGACCACATGCAGACCGTCTTTGATCCAGTGTCCTTGAAATGGGAAGAACATGGGTGTTCCTTTGCCCAAAAGTGGCAGCTAGGCAAGAAGAGTTGCGGACAGCCCAGAGCCTAGAAGAGAGAATCTGAAAATTATTCAAGTGTGGCAAAAAAAAGCCATATTTAAGGGGGTAAAATAGGAAAAAATACTTTAGTGTGTGCTTTCCTATACATGTTTAGGACATAGCAGACATTAAGAAGGTCCATTATCTGTATCCTTATTAAGACGGGTGGTAGCAGCAGCATTATGCTGTGGGGATATTTAATCTCAGAATTCTGACTTTAATCTCAGAATTCTGACTTTTTTCTCAGAATTCTGACTTCTTTTTATTGTCAGAATTCAGTCAGAATTTAGAGAAAAAAGTCAGAATTCTGAGATTAAAGTCAGAATTCTGAGATTAAAGTCAGAATTCTGAGAAAAAAGTCAGAATTCTGAGATTAAAGCCACAATTCTGAGATTAAAGTCAGAATTCTGAGATTAAAGTCAGAATTCTGAGAAAAAAGTCAGAATTCTGAGAAAAAAGTCAGAATTCTGAGATTAAAGTCAGAATTCTGAGAAAAAAGTCAGAATTCTGAGAAAAAAGTCAGAATTCTGAGATTAAAGTCAGAATTCTGAGATTAAAGTCAGAATTCTGAAAAAAAAAGTCAGAATTCTGAGATTAAAGTCAGAATTCTGAGAAAAAAAGTCAGAATTCTGAGATTAAAGTCAGAATTCTGAGATTAAAGTCAGAATTCTGAGATTAAAGTCAGAATTCTGAGAAAAAAGTTAGAATTCTGAGATTAAAGTCAGAATTCTGAGAAAAAAGTCAGAATTCTGAGAAAAAAGTCAGAATTCTGAGATTAAAGTCAGAATTCTGAGAAAAAAGTCAGAATTCTGAGAAAAAAGTCTGAATTCTGAGATTAAAGTCAGAATTCTGAGAAAAAAGTCAGAATTCTGAGATTAAAGTCAGAATTCTGAGATTAAAGTCAGAATTCTGAGAAAAAAATCAGATTTTTTTTTTCCACGTTAAACTAAAATAAAATGTAAAAATCAGCAAACTTTTTTTTTTTTTTTTCAGTGGCCCTAATCCTCTTCCGTAGTGGCTTGTATATGTACAAATCCTGCAATTTAGCTTCTGCGGCTTACAGGTGCTGGTCATAAAATTAGAATATCATGAAAAAGTAGATTGATTTCAGTAATTCCATTTAAAAAGTGAAACTTGTATATTATATTCATACATTACATACAAACTCATATATTTCAGATGTTTATTTTGTTTAATTTTGATGATTACAAATGACAACAAATGAAAATCTCAAATTCATCATATCAGAAAATTAGAATATTGTGAAAAGGTTCAAAATTGATGGCCCCTGGTGCCACACTCTAATCAGCTAATTAACTCAAACCACCTGCAAAAGCCTTTAAATGGTCTTTCAGTCTAGTTCTATAGGCTACACAATCATGGGGAAGACTGCTGACTTGACAGTTGTCCAAAAGACGACCATCGACACCTTGCACAAGGAGGGCAAGACACAAAAGGTCATCGCTAAAGAGGCTGGCTGTTCACAGAGCTCAGTGTCCAAGCACATTAATAGAGAGGCGAAGGGAAGGAAAAGATGTGGTCGAAAAAAGTGTACAAGCAAGAGAGATAACCGCACCCTGGAGAGGATTGTGAAACAAACCCCATTCAAAAATGTGGGGGAGATTCACAAAGAGTGGACTGCAGCTGGATTGAGTGCTTCAAGAACCACCACACACAGACGTATGAAAGACATGGGTTTCTGCTGTCGCATTCCTTGTGTCAAGCCACTCTTGAACCACAGACAGCGTCAGAAGCGTCTAAAGAGAAACAGGACTGGACTGCTGGTGAGTGGTCCAAAGTCATGTTCTCTGATGAAAGTAAATTTTGCATTTCCTTTGGAAATCAAGGTCCCAGAGTCTGGAGGAAAAGAAGAGAGGCACTTCATCCACGTTGCTTGAAGTCCAGTGTAAAGTTTCCACAGTCAGTGATGGTTTGGGGTGCCATGTCATCTGCTGGTGTTGGTCCATTGTGTTTTCTGAGGTCCAGGGTCAACGCAGCCACATACCAGGAAGTTTTAGAGCACTTCATGCTTCCTGCAGCTGACCAACGTTTTGGAGATGCAGATTTCATTTTCCAACAGGACTTGGCACCTGCACACAGTGCCAAAGCTACCAGTACCTGGTTGAAGGACCATGGTATCCCTGTTCTTAATTGGCCAGCAAACTCTCCTGACCTTAACCCCATAGAAAATCTATGGGGTATTGTGAAGAAGAAGATGCAATACACCAGACCCAACAATTCAGAAGAGCTAAAAGCCACTATTAGAGCAACCTGGGCTATCATAACACCTGAGCAGTGCCACAGACTGATCGACTCCATGCCACGCCGCATTGCTGCAGTAATACAGGCCAAAGGAGGCCCAACTAAATACTGAGTGCTGTACATGCTCATACTTTTCATGTTCATACTTTTCAGTTGGCCAACATTTCTATAAATCCTTTGTTTTTATTGGTCTTCAGTAATATTCTAATTTTCTGATATGATGAATTTGAGATTTTCATTTGTTGTCATTTGTAATCATCAAAATTAAACAAAATAAACATCTGAAATATATGAGTTTGTATGTAATGTATGAATATAATATACAAGTTTCACTTTTTAAATGGAATTACTGAAATCAATCTACTTTTTCATGATATTCTAATTTTATGACCAGCACCTGTATATTCAGGTGCGGCTTATAGTCCGAAAATTACGGTACTTCAGGCAAACCCCGTTCTGAATCGTCAAGATGCGACAGGGGCTTTAGTATAAGTTTTAATAGTTTTAATATCAGGAAAAAGCACATTTACACTTTACTGCCATATCTACTACTTAAACAATAGACATATTTTAGTAAATCAGGAAAAAATAGCCTATAGTCAAATTTATAGAAAAAAAAAAAGAAAAGCGTAGCTATTCTATTTGTGTCTGAAGAAGTATTACCAGAATTTTACTGTTTCTTGACTGATGTTTTGATCATTTATCTGAAGATAAATCTGCTAACTTCATTTGCTGCAGCTTCTGGGAATGATCCTCTCCATGTGTCTGTGCAAGAGCGTCGTCCGGGAGGATTACAGCAAAGTACCGAAGTACTGAGCCGAGCACAGAGCCAGTCGCACGTTACACACAGACGGACGCTCTTTCACTCTCTCTCCTCCACGCACCAAAGCTCACACGCATATTAAGACGGCCGTCTTCACCAATTGAGGTTCTCATGTCTTTGACAGCTGTGCAAAAAAACCTCACTCCCTCAGCCAGCGTGTCCCTCTGTCAGACACAGCTCTCACTCAACACGTTGAATATTTAATATTCTACAATTTGATTGGTTTCACATTTTGTATTTTCTTAAAAGGTTTTTAAGAATTTCCTGATTAAATACCATGCAAACGTCCTTGTAGGTTTTAGTGGTTTTGCTGCCGCCTCGGCCGACCTTGGCGAAGCATTTTAGTGACATTTGTTGAGCTGTTTTTTAGGCAGGCAGATGGCAGGGAACCAGAGAGTGTGTTTGTAGGCCCTATGAAGGATTACTGCCTCCCTGTGATCATGCACCTGGTATTTTAATGCTGAGTAAGGGTTCTGTTTAGGGCCGCAGCGATGGAGGTCTTTGGCTCCGTACGGAATCAGCTCTCTGCCTCCAATAACCCTGACATTAGCCTCCACTGACCCCTCCTCCTCCTCGATATTGTTATCCATCATCCTCTCAATCTTACGGAGCCCCTCTGATGACATGGTCAAAAAAAATGTTTAATTGTGGCCACAAAGTAGTATTTCGTGTGCACGAAGTAGTATTTCGCGGCCACGCAATAAGTATAACGTGCGCACGAAATACTACTTCGTGGCCACGCAATAAGTTTAACGTGCGCACGAAATACTTATTAGCAAATCGAGCGCGCCTTAGACCTTAGAGAAGGCGCGCTCGATTTGCTTACCCAGTTGTCCAGGAATGATATTAATATTATTAATAAGTATTTTCGTTAAACTTATTGCGTGGCCACGAAGTAGTATTTCGTGCGCACATTATACTTATTGCGTGGCCACGAAATACTGCTTCGTGGCAACAATTAAAAATTTTTTTTGACCATGTCATCCGAGGGGCTCCGTACAATCTCTGTCTTCCTGTTTGGCTGCAAAGCAAACAGTCCTACAGAAAGTGTACGCGTGACGTTTTAAAGTTCATGTTTTATATCCGTTTGTTCGCTGTTATATATTTTTTTTATGTCGTCTGTTATTTTTGACCGTGCTTTTTTTCACTAAGGCACTTTGGTGCTCCATCAGCATTTCATACGGGAAAGTTTCCAGCCACATGCTCTTGTTTTTAGAGCTCTACTGTTCATTGTTTCCTCTGTTGTTTAATGATGTGCAGACGGAGGCTCCTAATGCAGCTTGTCAGCACTATTTCACTGCAAAAAACATCTAGAATTAAGTAAAAAAAAATCTTAAATTGAGTGTACTTGCCCTTAATTTGAGTAGATAAATAAGATGATTTTCCAATGGAATTAGTATTTTTACTCCTAAAACGAGAAAACTATATAATATGCACTTGAAATAAGACAAAGCAATTTTTTTTTCTTATTTTAAACGTAAATTGTCTTGTTCCATTGGCAAAGTATCTCAATTACCTCCTCAATTCAAGAAAAAATTCACTTAATTTAAGCAAAAATTACTGCATTTTTTGCAGTGTTTGTTCTGATGTGTGAAATTGGAATTAATTAGGCGAATCTGTCATCACTTATGAAGCCATATTATTTCCTTAACATGGAACGCTTTAGGGAACTGAAAGTCTATCTGAGCATCTGCATACATTGCTTTAGACGTCGTCAGCTTACAAAGTAAAACACGTTCGTATTATTCAGTGATATATAGCAAACATTTATATCTGGTATTTGGTTATGGATTGCTGTTCATTAAACTTTTTTTAAGCCGTGTCCATGTAGCATTCACTACATGCTTCCTGTTCTTTATCAAAGCTGATTTTGAAGGCATAGTTGCATGAATACAGTCTGACATTTCAAGTGTCAGCATTTGCAGAGGTATAAGGAAACTGCGTTATTTTTATAGCAGCCTCCAGCTTTCCTGGTTATTGGTCATTAAAGCAGCCATCAGCTGTTTTGTAGATTGGTGCCAAATCTTGCTGGAAAATAAAATAAAATTTGTATCTTTAACATCTTCAGCAGCTGGTAGACAGCTATAGCTCTGAGTTTAGACTTGATAAAATGCTTGCCAAATCATCACTGATTCTGGAAATGCACATTTGCATGCACAATGGACCTCAAACAGCTTGGATTATCTCTCTCCCTACTAAATTTGGAACTGTAATATCTAAATGGAAAAAAAAAACAACCTTTAAACTGAAAGTAGGAATTTAGAGCTGTCGCTTTTGGGATGTTTTGCATCAAGTTTTTCCTTCCACTTATCTTTCCATAATAATTTTTTCTATTAGATGCACTCTTTTGTAAGCAGACAGCTTCTTTAGCAGTGACCTTATGATGCTGTAAAATCTGCAGGTTTCTTGATAATGTTGTCGTCATATAGACCAGAACGGACACCTCTGATATAAATATGTATCTTATGTCATATTCTGCAGCTCATTTTTTTTATTGAATTACTTCAGTCATTTATATCCTTTATTTATATACATCCTGTTACATTATGAAAAAGGGTTTCCGCTTTTAAATCAAGATTTACTCCTAATTTTATTAGATGGATTTTAATGTCTGCTCTTGTGTTTTTCACCACTTAGAGTCTGCATTCCTTTTTTTTTCCCCCAAAAAAGTTCCAGATTAATTTAAAGTTATGGAAAATGAAGGCTTTTTTTATATGATATTTCGTGTATGAATTTTGTTTAGCAGAGGTAAAAGATGTGGATTTGAAAGCTGTTAGAAAGTGTACATGTCTTTTGTTATGATGAATAAACCTAAACTATTATTGATTATGAATCTGTCTCTTTTTTTAATCATGATACTTTGTGCAAAAGTTTTATTTAAACAGTTTTCTACACCAAAGCTCAATGTTTGGTCTGACGACCCAGGCATTGTTCTTAATCAGCCAGAAGATGGCAGTATGCACCTGCTTTGGAAAAAAATAAAATCTAGATAAGTAATTTTTTCTTAAAATAAGTGCATTTGTTCTTGGATTGAGGAGATAAAAGAGACATTTTGCCAATGGAACAAGACAATTTACACTTAAAATAAGAAAACACAATTACATTGTCTTATTTCAAGTGCATATTATCTAATTATCTTATTTTAAGAGGAAAAATCTAATTTACCTACTCAAATTAAGGGTAAATACACTTAATTTAAGACATTTTCACTTATTTCTAGATTGTTTTTGCAGTGTGCAGCTAAGTGTTCCCTACCTTAGAGTAAGCATAAGAAAAAAGTATATGTAAAAATTAATATTTCTGAAGATTGGGATTATCCTCCATATATCTACAAAATGAAGGATTTTAGGACTTTTCAGCATGGTTCATTTCTCTTCTTGGTGCTTTCTATTAATTAAGGCTAACTAAGCATGTGGCTCAACTAAACCAAAAGCTCCTCATAAAATAAATTGTTCATCTGCAGAAAAAGCAAAGCTCCCCTTCAATAATCCTGAGTGCCTGACTGTTTTTATAGAAAACCGGGTTTTGCACGGTGTCACGACAGAAGCTAATTCCCCCGCCGCAGACTGCTGCTCTTTAAACATCACGTTCTTCCAATGCACCTGCTATTTATATCCATTGTGGTATAAAATAACTTCCCTCTTGTTTGCTCCTTCTAGCATATTTAATAACTGTCAATACTATTTTATAAACTAAGCTATTTTTCTTAGTTTTAGTTGCAGGAAGTAGCTGTTGACAGTGAGCTCAGAAATGTCAACTTCTGATTAAAATCACTAGAATGATCTTGAGCAGCTGTGAATAAGACAAGAGCTTAGTTTAACCCTTTGATAATAAACAAGTGAAATAAGATTCCTGGACACATTTTAATAGAAGGAAGTACCATAATAGGGTTCCAGTCAAATTTCAGCTTAACTCCTGCACTGCAAAAAATGGAAATCTAAATGAGTAATTTTTGCTTAAATTAAGTGCATTTTTTCTTCAATTGAGGAGGTAATTGAGATACTTTGCCAATGGAACAAGACAATTTACATTTAAAATAAGAAAAAAAAATTGCTTTGTCTTATTTCAAGTGTATATTATATAATTCTCTTGTTCTAGGAGTAAAAATACTAATTCCATTGGCAAATCATCTTATTTATCTACTCAAATTAAGGGCAAGTACACTCAATTTAAGAATTTTTTTAAACTAAATTCTAGATGGTTTTTTTGCAGTGTGATCCATGCTTGTGTACTTCTGTGTGTTTCTATGGCAGCCAGAGACTCAACAAGCAGGGTGCACTTTACGCACCACTTATAGAATTAAAAATATGATTTTTACCCGTAACTATATGCAAAATTGTATTACGTTATCAACAGATCTTAGGGTGTGTTTTTCATAGTTTACAATGACTCATAGTAGCAGAGACGTACTTTGGCTGCTGCAGCTGACAGTTTGTGTTGTATGACCTGCGTGGCCAGCTGTGCTCTGATAAACTCATCTACCAAGGAGAGCAATGCAGACAGAAATTGAAATTTAGCTCCTAACATTTCATGACAACTAGGGGATTGTTGTCCTAGTGGTTAAAGCAGTGCACTTGTGCTCTGAGAAGGATGCCAGCACAAGTTTTGATCCCCACAGCCTCCATTCTGGGTTCCTGAGCAAAACCCTTAACCCCACAGCGCTCGCTGGGCGCAACACAATGGCAGCCTTTTTTTCAGAGTAAGGCAAGGAAAATTTATTTGTATAGCACAATTCAGTACAAAGACAATGCAAAGTGCTTTACAAGATTAAAATACAGGAAGATAAAACAGAATCAAAGCAAGTAGGAAAAAATGAAAAAATAAAAAAATGCAGAAACAAAAAAGAATATTAAAAACAGTTGGACTAAAGAAAATATGTTCCAGTTGAACTGTTTAACTAGAACAGTGGAAGGCAATCCTAAACAAATGTGTTTTTAGTCTTGATTTAAAGGAACTCAGGCTTTCCGCACTTTTACAGTTTTCTGGAAGTTTGTTCCAGATAAGTGGAGCATAGGAACTAAATGCTGCTTCTCCATGTTTAGTTCTGGTTCTAGGTCTGCAGAGCAGGCTGGAGCCAGAAGACCTGAGTGGTCTGGAGGGTTGATACACTGATAGCAAGTCTGTGATGCATTGAGGTGCTAAGCCATTCAGAGATTTATAGACTAACAGAAGTATTTTAAAGTCTATTCTCTGAGATACAGGGAGCCAGTGGAAGGACTTTAGAACCGGGGTGATGTGCTCTACTTTCTTAGTCTTAGTGAGGACACGGGCAGCAGCGTTCTGGATCAGCTGCAGCTGTCTGATCCACTTTTTAGGCAGACCTGTGAAAAAAACTGTTGCGGTAATCAATTCGACTAAAAATAAACGCATGGATTAGTTTTTCCAGATCGTGCTGAGACATTAGTCCTTGAATCCTGGAAATGTTCTTCAGGTGATAAAAAGCCGACCTTGTAATTGTCTTTAAATGCTTTTGGAGGTTCAAGTCTGAATCCAGCACCACACCTACATTTCAGGCCTGATCAGTGGTTACTAGCTGAAGCGACTGAAGCTGTGTGCTAACTTTAGATCTCTCCTCTATTGGTCCAAAGATTATTACTTCAGTTTTGTTTTTATTCAGTTGAAG